AGGGGGTTTGGGCAAGGAGAATGTCGAGAAAAAGGATGGTTTCACTATAGCAAAACAATAACATATATGGGGAAGGGAGAGGGTGCACCACCAAAACAAGAAGCATATAGCTACACTAGGATCTACTGTAGGCAGGTATATTAATGTATACAAATACATTTCAACAACTTCGCCCCGCATCAGGCCAAAAGTAATCGAATAACCCGGCTTCAATGAGCAACCCGCGCGCCGTCTCCGTGATTGTCCGGTTCGCTCGTTTGGCGATGCCATTCATTCCAGGGGGAGTACGGCATGGTAAGGGAGTGCCTTATGCCATTCTTCTTCAGCCACATAGAGAAATCATTGCTCAGGAACTCTCCCCCTCGATCAGTACGAATTGCTTTCACTAGCCGATCTTATTGCCGCTCCACCATCGGCAACCAATCGGTCTTCACCGTTTCAGCCACGTCGCTCTTCTTGGAGAGCACATACACCCAGGACATGCGGGTGTAGACGTCCACAATGGTAAGGAAATACTCTGCTCCAGCAGCTCCAAGCTTCAAGGGGCCCACTACATCCATCACCACCTCATCAAGTGGCCTCTTAGTCGTTGCCTCCGAGCTAGAGAGCGGGAATCGGGAGAACTTGGCTTGCATGCATGTCGGGCAACCAAGTACCTCATTGGGCTCCCCCTTCACACGTATGCCAGCAACCATCTCTTCCTTCACTAGTTGCTGCAAAATAGGCAAAGCCACATGCCCCATGCGCCGATGCAAAGTCAACCAATCACACTCCCCCGTAGCCGAAGTCGGATTGGAGAATGCCGCACTCGCAATAGTGCCCCACATAATCTCTCCGTACTCCTCCTCCGCTTCTTCCTCGGGGTTCTCCTCACCCTTTTGCTACTCCTTGGCTACTTCACGACCCTCCTTGTGCTCACACTGCTTGCTGGTCTCTCCAAGATTGCACTTCTTGGACTCGTTCTCCTTGATGCCATCGTTAGCGTCGTCGCCGCTACCAACCGCTTCACCCTTGGTGCTGATGCTTGCTGCCACTTGCCTCTCCTTAGGCATTGGGATCACATAGATCTGCCACATCTCGTTGTAGACATCATTTTCTTCGTGAAGTTCCCAAAGAATCCGCTCGCCAAGCATTGCTGTGTAGGTCTTGGCTCTCTTTGAGCTCGTGTCCATGTCGGTCTTTTGCAATCGCCGCACGGAAATCAGGTTCGCAGCAAGGTTGGCGGCCAAAAGAACGTTCTTGAAGCCCACCATCTTCCCATCAGCACCCTTAAACATGGCCTTGCCCATGCCTTTCACCTTTGCTCGCTGCCCCAAAGCCGATGTGACATGCTTGACCGGTGACGGTTCAAGTTCGGTGGGCAAGTCCGCACGAGGTGTCATGCTATAGGTAGCGCCGCTATTGATCACCCAATAGTCCAGAGAGTGTAGGGTCACCTTTCCCACAGCTGCAGGCTCCTCAAAGCCTTCCATCTTCTATGGTCCAGCCGATGATTGCGTTGAGACGAAGAAGAATTGACCCGCGAACCGATCGTCGCTCGAGTCATTGTCGTTATCTCCACTCTTCATGTTTGCAGCTCCACCTCCGCGACCGCCACAGCCTCCACAGCCTCTTCCTCTCCCTTCCCCTGCTCCTCTACCCTCTTGGCCTTGAGCAGGAGTCCATCCATCAGGGAGTTTGTAGCAATCGCACCACATGTGTCTGCTCTTGTGGCAAAAATGACACTCGCCGTCGAACCGTCCGCGGCCGCGTCCGTAGTTTTTGTTGTCATTGCCATAGCTGCCACTTCCGTAGCCTCCAATGTAGTTGCTACCTCCAAACCTTGCTCCTCTTCATCCTCTGCCCCTTCCACGACCATATCCCCGGCCGATGCTTGTTGCCCCGGCGCCATCCGAACCCGCCAACTCATGGCGGTGGAAATCCTCTTGAAGGATCGCTCGCTTCACGTCTTCAAGCGAGAGGCGGAGCAAATCACGATTGAGGTTGATGATGAGCAAGGACCATGACTCTGGGAGTAAGGCCAGCAACTTGGTCTTCTATTGGAGCTCACTATAGTTGAGATCCGCTCCTTCAAGCCGCGTCAACAAGTTGAAGAATTTCAGCACCCCTTCTTCAACCGGTTCATCTTCTTCAATTCGTAGTGCCGCCATTTGCCGCTCCAACACCACCGCTACCGCCGCTATTGCAGGAGTAGGTACACCCTTGAGAGCAGCCCATGCCTTTGGTGCCTTCTCTGGTTCACGCTGGAATGGCTTGATGTGACGGATCTGGCTGCTCCCCAACGCTTGCCCAAGTAGGAGATAGCCTTGTGCGCTCTTCCGCACCCACGGGCTCTTCTCCGGGTCGTTCTCGGGGGCGCTTCTCCGCTCCTTCCATCACCTCCAGCATGTCATAGTGGTCAAATACGTTCTCCATTCTGAAGGACCATTCAGCGAAGTTGTCGCCATTGAACTTGTAAAGCTCAAACAACCTAGGTTCATCCCTAGCTGGGCCAAGACTTGGTTGCATGGGTGCCATGGCTGAATCACGGGGTTGCCCTTGAACTTGGGCTTCTCCATTGCCACCAACACCTCTGCCACCCCTTTCCTTAGGTCCAGCCATTGTTGAAACTACTCCAAAGGGCTCTGATACCACCTGTTATAGTCACAATATGCTTGAATGTGCCTAAAACGAGAGATAGAGTGCACAGTCGGATTTCTGCACAGCAGCTTCAAACGTTGATAGCGTTCTGTTCACAGCTTCAAATGACTTGCTATAAATTGGATGTAGAGTGTCTTGATATCGCCTACACTAGGCAATTTATATTGCACGATTTCATCAAGTATTGATGACGCAACGTCGGTTTGAACGAACGGCACTATGGCAGCCACTATAGACTTAGAACACAAATTAGGAAGAGTTACGAGTTGGGAATGACTCCCAGCCTCTACAAACCCCAAGAGCCGAGGTACAGTGATGTGGAATAGTGCCACACTGTCCTCAACCATGAAGGGTCTCGAAACTACCCTCCACAAGGGCCTACACTAGGAGAAATGTTACACTACACATTGTAATGTAACTATTCTCACTATCTTGAAGTTTACCTTTTTGGAGAGCTTCGAAATCACTTTAATCTTGAAACCAAGGCTCTGGTTCTTCAAGATAAATTCTTCCTTGAGTTCTTGGAAGTCTGCTGGGCACACCTGCAACACACCGAATGTTCCACACACGACAAAATAGAAAACCGCACACGACATGCAAACGACAACGTGACACGCGACTAGCGATAACTCGCTATTGACTCGACACACACATTTAAAATCATGCCTCATCATTCATACACTATTATAAGCATGAAATATATATCATCTCATGCCCTTATACTATTCCATGCACACACGCATGCACGCACACGGACAACAAGCCGAATGCAAACCGTAGGGTTGCACCAACAGTTCAGCGAGGCCATCTAAGTGGTCGAAGTTATGGTTTTATGGATACTGAACAGCGGCGGCAGTAGTGTCAGCAGGAGACCTTCTCCCCGCAGTGGCTTCGCGACTGTGTTTCTCTGCGCGTCCTTGGTTGTGTAGAGGCTGCTGCTCTATGTGCTAGCGAGTCTGCTGCCGCTCTAGGTGCTAGTGAGTCTGCTGCAGCTCTAGATGCTAGTGCGTATACCGCCATTGGTCCTGCCTCAGTTGAGGCCTTGCACACTTTCACACTTGACTCAGTCGCGTCACGTTGCTTCTTTCGTGATTGCACCACAGTCACACCGCTCGCAGCACCTGTCCCAGTCTCACTGGCTGACCCCACTGGGGGCCTAGTAGTAGCCCGAGCCTCCACTGTCCTCCAGTGTCCGGCAGTCCCCTCCGGGTCTTTTTCAGGTCTCCACCTCCCCTCGTTCTCGACGAACTTGGTGAGCAACGCAGTCCTTCAGGATGTATGGGTTGATACCTTTATCTCTGGGGGGACAGCGAGTGGCGATCTGTACGTGCTCCCGGACTGGCCGTCACCTTGCTACGTTCACTCGGCAGCCTGGGTCCAGTCTGTACACACTGACCACGGCGTCTGCCCAGGTGCCTGCGTCAGGTCAGGTGGCTGCGTCGAGTTAGGTGTCTGCGTCTGGTCAGCTTGCAGCATCTTGCTCGTGTCGGGTACTTTCCCACTAGACTCTCCTCTGGCACCACCGACTCGGTCACCTCTCTCTGCCGCGTCTGCGCAGCATGCACTCCCGTCTCCTTGTTTCTGGCCTTCCCAGGTCTCTGCCCTCCCTCCCGTGCTCGCTTGCCCCGCCGTGCCTTCCTTGCGTCGAGGGGCGGCAGCGCGCCGCTCCTCACTCCTCCTCGTTTCATCCGACCACTGCTCCTCTGCAGACTCTCCACATGGACGTGTGGGGCCCCGCCCGCGTCAGTGGGACGGACCAGGAGCGCTACTTCCTGCTGGTCGTTGACGACTATATGCGCTACACCACCGTCTTCCCCTTGCGCAGCAAGACGGACGCCAACGGTGTTTTGATCCCCTGGATCCGCGCTACTCGTCACCAGTTGCGCGAGCAGTTCCGGGGGGGCCTTCAAGTCATGCGTCTGCACTCTGACAGGGGCGGTGAGTTCTCTTCCGGCCTCGTTGCGGAGTTCTGTCGAGACGAGGGCATCGTCCAGTCGTAGAGAGGGAACGCTCAACCTTCCATTGCAGCAGCTTGTACGTTCCCTGAGTAGCAACGCTACTGGTACTTACAGCCCATGTGACTTCGGGTATCGTAAAACACAACAGAGTACAAAACTGAATCTGGGGATAAAGGCCCCATAAGTTTTCACACACAAGTAACACGAAATAGCAAACATTCACACAGACAAACACACACACACACACACACACACACACACACACACACACACACACACACACACAAGACCTAGCTTCAAAATTGTGTAAGGGGTGGCGCTGCATTTGTGAGCTCCAGGCCTTCGTTTGTGGCACACTGCTGCAAGATGGGAGTCCTCATGGCATCACTGCGTGCTGCTGCTTCATGCACGCATGCACTCATACAGCCGTGTCATCTTGGGGTATCCCAGTTCCAACCCAAGGTGCTGCTGCCAAAGGCCCACCTCGCAGGGGGTGATACCGGTAGCATCCACTAGCTCTGTCAGTGTGACCTGTACACACCAGCCCTTCTGGTTGATCTGCTGCCTCACACCCTCTGCTGCTCCTATCAGGAAATGAATTTCAGAGTCTTCCATTAACCCTACCCCCACTGCTGTCTCCACTCGCATCTCCCAAGCCTTTCGTCCTGCTCGCGCCTTGACCTCCTTCCCCACTCTTCCCCTCCTCGCCATCTGACTTAAGAGTCTCAGCACAGCGCATCCATGAATAGCGCCCTTGTTGCCGCCCATACCCCCCACGGTGTGCCAGTTGAGCAGCCGTTCGCTTGGGCGCATGAACATGGGCGCGGCCAGGCCCTTGGGCCTGCGCGCCTCCTCCTCCCGCCCGCGTCTGCCCTCCTCCGCGGGATCCCAGCAAAACACCACCTCCAAACCCACCCTCCTGCCATGGCCCCACGCGTCATGGAAGGCTATAAACTTTGTTACTGCTACAGCGTTTTCAACTCTGATTGAACCACAAAATAATACAAAATTGGACCTGGGGAAGAAACCCCATAAGTTCACACACAACAGACACAACAAGGCACACACACACACTAAGGCCTAGCTTCAAAATTGTGGAAGGGGTAGCGGTGCAGTTGAGAGCGCCAACCCTTCGATTGTGGCACACTGCTGCCTGATAATGCCATCAGGGCATCAGGAATCACAGTGTGCTTCTGCTTCACGCACTCATGCAACAGGCGTGACATCTTGGAATATCCCGAGGTGCTGCTGCCATACACCCACCTCGCAGGGGCGGGCAGCACACACCAGCTCTGTCAGTGTGGCCTGTACACAACTGCTGCTCACTCCTGCTGTCTCACACCGTCTGCGACCCTCTGCTGCTGTACCGTATCAGCAGATGCTTTTCCTTTTTCTTCCACTCCCCCTGCTCGCACTTCTCTCTCCTAGCCCTTTCGCTCCTGCGCGCCCCTCCCCCCCTCCTCCACCCCCTTATCTACCCACTCGGAGTTACACTCTCAGCACGGCACACCCGAGAATGGCGCCCTTCCCGCCGCCCATGCCTCCCACGGCGTGCCAGTTGAGCAGCCGTTCGCTGGGGCGCATGAACATGGGCGCGGCCAGCCCCTTGGGCATGCACGCCTCCTCCTCCCGCCCGCGCCTGCCCTCCTCCTCGGGGTCCCAGCAAAACACCTCCTCTACACCCACCCTCCCTCCATGGCCCCACGCGTCGCGCGCGCCGCCCAGCAAGAACAGCTTCCCCTGGAAGGCTATCATGCCCGCGCCGCGCGTCGCGCTGTTTTGCCGCCCGAAGCTGCCGACGCCCGTGCTGCTGACGTGGAGCGAAGGGATAGGCCCGCACTTGCGCCACTCGCCTGTGGCGGCGTCGCGCACGACGAGGCGCGACTGGTGGACGGCGTAGAGGTCGCCGTTGAGCACGGCCATGGGGCCCGGGATCTGCGGGCGCGGGGAGCGAGGGGAGGGAGGGGGAGACGGAGGAGGGATGAGGATTTAAAACTAATTCATTTATCGGGCCACAAATTGATGGAAAATCACACGCCACCCGCCGAGTAACAGCCCTGTTTCCCACGCGCCGCTCACCTTGGCGCCGTCGATCCACGCGTTGGGCACCAGATCCCATCGGTCGCTCTGCCGGTCGTACACCTCGATCGACGCCGTGCTCTCGCGCGCGTGTCCGTCTCCGTCATGACGTAAGTCCATGACGTCAGCAGTGGAGGTGTCGTGCCGCTGCACCTCCCCCGCGATCACCGTCAGCTGCCCCCCGATCACCACGGCGCGATGCCCGCATCTCACGGCGTACATATCGCTGATGCTCCGCCATTCACTGGTGTACACGTCGAAAATCTGAATCAGATTATGGGACCGTGGGGAATGATGAGAGGAAGAACAGATAAAACTTAATACACTAAGATTCTTCATTCTCTTTCAAATCTTAAGCAGGTGGTCATTACTGGCACAATTGTGAGGTATCTTCCAATTCCGATTGACCAATCAACGCTGAGAGAGACTCACCTCGGCGGATCGCAGAAACGCGTGTCGGCCCTGCCCGCCCGTAACCACGATGTAACGGCCGTCCAGCACCTCCGCGGCGGGGGAGATGCGCGCTTCCCTCATCGGCGCGCAGAAGTCCCAGCGCCACGCGACGGGGTCGAACACGCGCACCCGCGCCGTCGCGACTTCTGCAAAGCTCATTCCCGATGGGGATGCTGACGTCACGCGCTCGCAGCCGCCAATGACGAACATCTTCCCACCCGCCGCCACCGTCGCAAATTCCGAAAGCCCCTCGTTCTTGGACCGACCGGGAACGGGCGGCACGGCATGCCATGAGTGAGAGTTCGGGTCGAAGGCGCGGAACGCGCCCTGGTCGGGGTCCTCCGGGAGCACGAAGAGCCACTCCTCGACCGCACCCGCCGCCTCTCGCGCCTGGAAGAACGCTCCGCTGGACACGGCGGAGCTCCAGGACTTGGAGACGGTCTTGAGCGCGCCGTGCAGGTGGCGCGGGAGAAGCAGGAGCGCCTCGTGGGAAACCTCGTCGGGAATTGACGCGAAGATGGTGCCAAGGGAGTGATGGCAGAGATTGGTCTCGTGAAGAGTTCCCATCGCGTTTGTAGGGTTTGATAAGAAGATCGACGATGGTTCAAATAACGACACGTGGAGAAAAATGCAGCTACACGGCTCTAGAAACTAGGATGCTGCGGCCGATGGATGAAGAGTTGACTGCTGGTCCTGAAGCAAGAAGAAACAAAGTGAGAAAATAAGTGTGAAGTAGCTGAGGAGCGAATTTACGGGTTGCATAGCTGAGGAGAAAGATGGAGGTCCAAGGCGACGGGGGGATTGCGCGAAAGATTGCGCGAGATGCTGTGCGACAATCTACGGTAGTGACGTGCCTCGAAACTGCTCACCTGAACTGCCACGTGTGAGACATCGCAGATTCATCCACCTTTCGAAATTCCCATGAACCACCAACAGTGATTCTTGGTTTCTCGAAGGGAACGGAATTGACCTTTCTGAGTGCGAAGAGTCGTTAAATGACGCGTCTGAATGCAGAGCACACGTCACGGTCGAAGTCATCTGATGCGTGGTCCAACGCAGCTTCCGTTGTGATGACTGGCTGAGCGACCGTCTGAATTCTCTGGCGAAAACGAAAACCTCGTACAGGGCACAACCGACCACACAGCTGGTTTACAACCCTGGTTTCCCGCAACGCAATTTCTCTCAACCACGCGGTACGACAGGGGTCTGATGGTGGGCGATGGTGATTTTCGAAATTGCAATCATCACCAGCTCCACCAAAATCATGGCATCAAAGAAGCAGCGTTCCTGGCCAAGTAAGCTTTCCCACGTGGCCAGGGTGGAAAACACTAGATCTCTACACCCTGACTCGTGTTGTAAGAGAGTACTTCGGTGCCTATGTGAGTACCATTCATTTATAAATAAATTACACCATTGGCAGAATCTTCGAAGTAACACAAATTAGTGTTTTGTCAGAGAAATTGCGCCATGCGTGCATCCCTAGGGGTGTCAGGAACTTGAACAAATTGTAGCTTCAGAAGCTGTCATGGAAACGGGGGGAAACAGGGCAAATTTGAGGAGGGAAATACCCAAACTTGCACTAGAAAACAAATGGTAGCACTCAGCACAGCCCCAGGAAGTCGTATGTGAAGTGTGTTCATAGCTTCATAGGCCCGCACACCACAAGCGGTTGCTCCGAACAGCTCCAGGTGACACGATTCACGAAATGCACCACATCTCACCTCAGTGGCGGACGGCCTATCATAGGGCTCTATGTGGAAGCACGCCTCCAGGAACTCGCGGCCCTCGTCCGATATGCCCTCGGGAATGGGCGGGCCCGTGGTGGTCTTGGCGATGTGGAAGATGGCCGACCACGTGTTGTCCATTCCTGGCCATGGGTGGCTAGTGAGGGTCATGGGGCGATGAGGTCGCGGGAGGGGGTGGGGAGGGGAGAGGGGTGGAGAAGGGGGTGTCTATGGAAAGTGAACGGTGAGGAATGGAGGTGGAGGAAAGACATGACATGTGGGAAGTGAGAAGTACACACAATGACGGACTCCTCACCTACCAATGAGCACCCATCACCGGCCAATGACCTGAGCACCCCCCATCTCTCACCTGCCAGTGAGCATCTCAATGACGGTGCAGCCGAGGCTCCAGATATCACCTTACACCCAACTACACCCATCTACACCTGCCCGCTCTGCTCTCACCTGCCAGTGAGCATTTCAATGACGGTGCAGCCGAGGCTCCAGATGTCGGCACGGCGGCCGTACCCCTCCCCTTTGATCACCTCGGGCGCCATCCAGAACACCGACCCTCGGATCGACTTGCACCCCTCTCCCACCGTGCCCTCATGGAACGCCTGGGAGGGGGGGGCGTGGAGGGGGGGGGGGGGGGGGGGGAGAAGGGGAAGGTAGGGGAAGGTTGTGGGAGGAGGGGAGGGACGACACGAGGGGCTGCAATCAAGACAGTGCCAGACGCACAGGCAAAACATCCAAAACAAAAAGTTGTGCAGCACAGACAGAGACACTTTGATGAGCATCTTGGGGACATGAGGACATTGGCCCTGATGCCATGTGCAATGATCTTGCTGCAGCCCAGTCCCAGCAGCACATCACAATCGCCCCACCCCACTCCATTCGCCCCAACCCCAACCCATTCGCACCCATCTCCCTTTCGCAACCAATCGCCGTCCGTCTCTCACCTTGGAGGCCCCAAAGTCAGCGAGCTTGATGACGCCATCACGGTCCACGAGCACGTTGCCGCCCTTGATGTCGCGGTGGATGATCTTGCAGCCGTGCAGATACTCCAGCCCCAGCAGCAGCTGCCGTGTGTACACGCGCACCAGCGACTCGCTGAACTTGCCAAACTTCTCCAACATGCTGCCATGCAGGCGCGGGAGAAAGGGAGCGCAGGGGGCGGGAAGTGTGTGGGGAGATGTTGGAAATAGGCCAGGCGTGCAGGTGAGTCAACACGTTGCAGGGGGAGGGGATGCAGGGGAGGAAGGACAATGTGGATGGGGAGACGTTGAAAATAGGCCAGGCATGCAGGTAGACCTACATGTGTACGCCCACACCAGCAACTCGCACATCTTGCCAAACTTCTACAAGACGCAGCGAGGGAGGCACAGAGAGGGAGAGTGCAGCGGCTATATGCTGCAGGTACCTCCCCTCACCTGTGCAGTGAACCACCCGATACAAGCTCGAGGAATATATAAATAGAGCCATCGGCCTCGTCCTTCTCCATGTCAATGTACCCCACGATGTGGCGGTGGCGCATCTGGCGGTACAGCACGATCTCGCGCTCCAGGGACGCGATCAGCATCGCCTTCTCGTCGCCCGCCGTCGTCATCTTGATCTGCTTCACCGCCATCAGCTCTCCCGTCATCTCGTTCAGCCCCAGGAAGACCTGCGTGGAGGGGGGAAAGGGGGTTTGGGTGGGGTGGAATGGGTTGGAGATGGGTGGGCGGTGATGAATGGGGTGGAGGGGGGTTGAGTGGGGTTGGCGGTCATGATGGGAAATGGGAGGGGGAATTGGAGAGGACATGAGTGGAGTGGGAATGGGAGTGAGTATGGGAGTGGGGAGGGAGGTGGGGGAGGCAGTGGAAAGCAATTGGGGCAGTACGAAGCGTATCCACACTCTCTATGGTGCGCCTCAGCACTCCTTGCTATAAGCTCTCCCCGTTCCCTCCTGCAGGCCCCCTCTGCCCTCACCAGCCCTTCCCTCATCTACCCCTCCCCTCACCTCCTTCCCTTCCCCCAGACCCACCATGTGCTCCCCGTGCCTCACCTTGCCAAAGGCGCCCTCCCCCAGCAGGTCGCCCTTCTTCCACTTGAGCGTGCCCAGCGGCGATGCTGACATGGATACCGACGCCGAGTCTGCCAGGGCCTTTGCCACGCTGGCAGAGGTGGTGGTTGACGTGGCGCTGGTGGTGGCAGTGGAAGGAGAGGAGGAGGAAGAGGAAGAGGAGGAGGTGGAGGTGGTGGTGGTGGTGCTGGTGCTGGCAGTGGTGGCGGAAGAGGAGGAAGGGGAGGGGGACTTGCCGTCACTTTCATTCCCCTCACTGCCACTACCTGCACTCCCCTCCTCTGCTCGCCCCTCCCCTTTCCCACCCTTCTCATGCCCTGTTTCACCCTCCTGCTTCTTCCCTTCCTCCCCCACTGCCTCTTTGCCCACCTGCCCGTCCCCACCTCCGCCCTTCTCCCCCCCCTTTGCCTGCTTCTCTCCGCCCTTCTCCTCCCGGCCCTCCCCACTGCCATCCACCTTGCCAGAAAGAGGCGAGGCGGAGGTTGTGGATGGGGAGCGAGGCGAGGTGGTGGCGGGGGAGGCCAGGGGGGAGGACTGGTTGGGCGGGGAGGCGGAAGGGGAGGGCGCGGAGGGGGAGGAGGTAGCAGGCGAGGAGGGAGACGAGGGGGAACCAGCACCGGACTGCACCTTCCCTCTGCCCGCCGCATCACCCTTCTCTTCCCCCTCCTTATCCCCTCCTGCCCCCAGTTTTCCATGCCCTGCCAGCCCTCCTGCAGCAGCAGCAGCAGCAGCAACGGCCGCTCGCCGGCGGGGGGATACAGGAGGGCGAGGAGACATCCGCCGGTCGCCGTACCGCCGATGCCGCCTCACCCCGCCTCCCTCGCTGCCACTCTCCGTCTCCTCCTTCCCAGACCCCCCGTCGCTCTCGCCCTCGCTCTCGCCCCTCTGCCGGCCATGCTGGTTCGGGGAGCCATCGTCGCCAGCAGAGGGCAGGGCGAAGGAGACAGACTTGCGCACGCGGGCAGGGGGGCGGGACGCAGTTGAAGTGCCGCTGCTGCTGCTGATGCTTCTGCCCACCGGCGTGTGGCTCCCACTGCCGCCTGCAGTTGCAGCTCCAGCAGCAGCAGCAGCACCGGTGGTGGTAGTGCTTGCACCACTGGGGCTGGTGGCAGAACTTCCGTGAGCAACATTTGCACCACTCGCCTTTTCAGCACTGGCATTAGCAGCAGCAGGGGGAGAAGCAGAGGCAGCAGCTGCAGCCCCCCCTCCTTTACCCTGCCCTGACGGCAGCAGAGCCTTCCTCTCCCCCATCGCCGCCCTCTCGCCGTCCGTCAGAATCTCCCCGCGCACTGAAGACGCTCTCCGCCACCCACCCGATGCATGCGCGGACGGTAGGCGGGCGGAAAGCGGGGTTTTCACCGACACTTCAGTATCACTCGTCGACACCTCCCCTCCCCCGTCCGCCCCTCGCTCCCTCGCGCCCCCTCTCTCTCTCCCCTTGTCGCTACCCAGCGCACCAGTCAGCCTTAGATCCCTCACATGCTGCTGCTGCTGCTGCTGCCTGCCGTTCCCTCTATCCAGCCCTACCCCCACCCCTTCCGCTGCCACAGCTCGCATGCTCTCAATGTGTCGCTCCCCCAGACTGCCCACGCGCAGCAGGGGCCTGACGTCTGGTGCCCGCCTGCCCTCTGTCTCCGACCCATACTGTGCGTCCAAACGGAAGTTCTCCAGCTTCGACCCCCTCTCGCCCGAACCCCTTTCCACCGCATCCAACCCCACACCATCGTCAGCACCGGCCCCAACAGAATCGTTGGAAGGGGCACCCCCCGCCCCCGCGCCCACAGCGCCGTCTCTCCTACCCGCTGGCCCCCCTGCTGCTGCTCGCCTCGCCTCTGCGCCTGCTCTGCTCTGCCCAGCGCCCTGCGGGCCCAGGGGAATGCCGCCCCTGTGAGACCCGTCCAGGCTCACAGACTGAGACCGCGCATGTCTCCCTGCTCGCACCCCCCTCCCCATCAGCCCCACTCCCGCCCTCCCTCCTCGCCCGCCCCGCCCATCCATTGCCCCTCCCCCACGGCCTCCTACTGAACGCCCTGCTGCATTTCCCAGAGCTGGGCTTGCGGTTCGGGACCGCCGAACCTGGGAATTCGGTCCATCAGCATCGGAGTGGCAGTCCGAGCCTCCGGCAGGGGAGGCAGCGTTGGGGGAGCTGTGGCTGGGGCTGCTGGCAAGCAAGGGGGAGAGCGAGGTTGGGGAGGGCGAGGGGCGGTGGCCTGAGTCGCTGAGAGTGCGATGATACCTCAGCTGCGGCTGAGACACCATGTGCGCCGCTCCCCCCTGCCCCTGCGCCTGTCCCTGCGCCTGTTGCCCCCCCTGTGCCTGCGCCTGTCCTTGTCCCTGCCCCTGTGTCTGACCCCGCGCCCCTGCTGCCCCTGTCCCTGCTGTTGCTCCCCCACCGGCCTGCCCTGTTGCAGCTGCCCCCCCTAACCCCCCTGCGCGCCGCACACCCACCCGTCTCCTCCGCTCACCACCGCCGTCCGTCTCACTCGAGCTGTCACACGCCTCCCGCCCATCCTCCCCTCTCCTTCCCCCCCCCACACCTCGCACCCCTCCCCTCTCCTGCCCACTGCCGTGCTGCTCCCCGCCTGCCCTACCAACACTGGTGGGAGCGAGGGAGATGGGGAAGGTGGGTGAGGTGGTATCGTCATCCCTGTCATGCTCCCACGCCTTCTGAAACAGCTCCTCCTTGCTCTCCAGCCCCTCGCCCCCAAGCCACTCCGCGCCCTCCCCCCTCCCCTCCCTGCCGTTGCCCCTGCCACCGCCATAGCCCTGCTGCTGCGAGTGGCGCTGGTGCGGGGCTTGAGGTCTCTCGCTCTGGTTCTGGTTCAGACTGTTGCTGTGCCCGAAGCCCTGGCTGCCGCTGTTGCTGCTGGCGCACCGCAGCAGCTCTCTGTTTCCGCCACCGTCCCTGCCCCCGTCGCCTGCATCAAAGCCAGTCCGCGCCCTCAGCTCCGCCAGCCACGCTGCGCCCCTCTGACTCCTCCCCCCGCCCCCTGCAATCCCCTCAAACTCCCCCCCAATTCCCCCATCCTCCTCCCCCTCCACACTCAAACCCAACCCCAACCGCCTCCCTGACCCAGACCACCCCAGCTCAGGCCTAAACCCGCCAATATCCTCCAAGCCTCCCCCCGAACCTCCCAGCAGATCCGAACCTCCCAGCTCCCCCGAAAGCAAGTCCCCATCCTCAAAACCACCCCCCTGGCGGAACCCCCCAAGCGCGCCCGCACGTGTGGCGGCGTCCAGGGGGGCGGCGGCGGGGGAGGCGGAGTCAGGGGCGGCGCAGCGCTGGTGGTAGTCGTGCAGCTTTCGGAAGAGCGCGCCGATGCGGTCCGACGAGGTCAGCTCCTGCGGCAGCAGCCCGTCTCGGTTGCGCGCGTACATGTTCGCCCCCGCCACCAGCAACAGCTTTATTATGCTCCTGCGCGCGCGGGGGAGGAAACGGAAATGGGAGAGAGGAGAGGGATGCGGAAGATAAAGGGAGTGTGGTTGTGGGAGATGTGGTTGGTGAGAATAGATGAGTGGGGACGTGGGGGGTGTGACTGAGAAGCATGAGGGGCAGTGTGACCCCCTCCCCCTCCTCCAGCCCCTTCTACCCTTCCCCCACCCCATCCCCTCCTTCTCCCATTCCCTCTAAGTCCCATGCCCAAGTGTGCCCTGTGCTGTGACGGCCAGGCGAGCCCTCCCTCCCCCGCACGCACCTGTGGCCGGTGGCGCAGGCGTAGTGCAGCGCGGAGCAGAGGCGCGCGTCCGTGGCGTTGATGTCCGCGCCGTTGGTCAGCAGCAGCCGCACCGCCTCCTCGCTGCCCGCCTGCACCGCCGACATCAGCGGCGGCGACTGCCCTCCCTGCCCGCCACCGCGTTCCGAAGGCAGGGAGGGGGAGGGGTGTGGAGGCGGAGACAAGGAATCAAGATGGTTGAGGAGTTGGGGGGGGAAGAAGAGGAGGGTACGGAACTGGAGCGGAAGGAGGGAGACACAAGCAGGTGGGGTGGGGTGGTAAGCCAACCAACATAACAAGTGTGGAAGAAGTCCCATGGCACCAGTCGTTAAGCAGAGCAGTATGAACCCCTGAAAGCAGCCCTCCATGACCCTCCGCCGGCCACGCATGCTCTCGAGCCAGGGCGCGTGCCTCACCTCCGCGGCGGCCGTGCCCCCGTCGGGGTCCGCGCCCCACTCCAGCAACAGCGCCGCCGCGTCCAGGCTGCCCGCCACCACCGCCTCGTGCAGCGCCGTCCTGCCCGTCGCTGCGCCCCACAGGAGCCCCCGCGCGCGGAGAGGTGACGTGGAAGAGCGCCCCACAGGTGGTGAGCGTCGGGGGGGAGGGGGGGGTATGGTGGGGGAGAGAGCGACATGGGAGATGGGAGAGGGTCAGAGGATGTCGGGAGGAGGGTGATTGTGCGGCTGTGCGCGGGAGTGGGAGTAAGAGGGGACGGGGTATGCAAGGGACGAGCGAGAACGGGACAATTCCTTACTCACCAAGGGGAAACGTTACCTGGGTGCAGCGCGGTGAGAGGGAATGACACCTGGGTGCAACGCGGTGAGAGCGAGCGTCATCTGGGTGCAGCGCGGTGAGAGCGAGCGTCACCTGGGTGCAGCGCGGTGAGAGCGAGCGTCACCTGGGTGCAGCGCGTTGAGGAGCGCGGTGCGCGAGGAGGCTTCCTGCAGCACGCTGTTGACGAGCGCCGCGTCGTTGGCGTGCGCCGCCTCCACCAGCTTCAACACCGCCTTCAGCTGCACCCCCGCCCCGCCCCCCCCACTCATCCCCGCGCCCGCTCCCCCCACTAATCCCCCTCCCCCGCCTCCCCCGCCTCCTCCCCCTCCCAAATCTTCGTCCGGGAACCCCAGCATGCCCGCGCCGGCTCCGCCGAATCCCCCGCCTCTGCCTTGCCTGAGCTCCCCCGCCAGCCCCAGGAGTTCCTCTGCGCCCATGCGCCTACCCCCGCCCGCGCCTGTGCCCATCCCCATCCCGCCATCGATGAAGTCCAGCGCCGAAGAGCCTCCGCCGGGCTTCCCCACTAGGTCTGCGAAGCTGTCCGCTCCGCCCCGCCACGAGCTGGCGGAAAAGGAAGCCTGGGGGAAAGGGGGAGTGGGTGGTGCAGCAACGAGCAGACTAGGATTAAAGGCACTCCGAACGTATAGACGACATGCCGGAAAGGAGGAACGGGGACTCAATACGTCGCATGGGCAACAACTGAAAGAAAAAGAAAGATCGAAAAAAGCGACTAAAGCGAAAAGCGATGCTGCTCGTACCGGATCAGTGGACAGATCCGACCACGCGTCCTGTCGCCCCGCATGACCGTTAGCGAAGTCGCTCTCCCTGTGACTCAGGACCCTCCGCAGCACTCCCTCCCCTGGCCCCTCCCCTCCTCCCAGCCGTATGCTCCCACCATACCTGCCGCCGCCCACGCTATCATACATCCCCCCCAGGTCCCTCCCTGCGGCGTCCGCCAGCCGCTCCACATCCATGCTCGCGGATCCCGCACCCAGATGCCGCCCCCGCATCGCCGCGAACAGCGCCTCGCTATCCACCACACTGCTTCCAATGCCGCTTCCGATGCCGCTACCGATGCCGCTCCGCATGCCGCTTCCCATGCTGCTGCTGCCTGTTCCGTCCAGCGACGTCGCGAGCGACGACCGGCCCCTGTGGCCATATGAGTTAGGAGTGGACGACGATCCGGGGATCCTCGTGGCCTGCTCGCTACGCTGCCGCAAAAGCTCCCCTTCCGCGCTGCCCAGCTCTCCGTAGAGTCCCAGCACGGCCCCACCTACGCTCTGGTTCTCGCCAGCGTCGTGAAAGTTGTGGTAGATCTGCGGCCGCAGCGCGGACGACACGGACAGCGTTCGGCGATGGTTGTTACGAGTGGGTCGATCTCGCGCGACCTCGCCGCCCGAAGTGAGAGCGGGAGACCACGTGGTCTCCTCAAAATCGAAATTGTCACCACCCGCATCTGGCTCGTAGTTACTGTAGCTGTTATAATCCCCATCGGCTTGTCTGTGAGCGAAGCTGTTGGACTGACCGGTGCTGCGGCTCCGAGGATACGCAGGAGCCGCGGTCAGTTCCGCATCCCCCTTAAAGCGCCGAGAGAATGAGTCTGTCCGCTGCATGATTGCAGTCAATGAGCTACTGAAAGCCGTCTCGTCAAGCTAAGCATGACGCCAAGAATTGGCTAGCTGATGGCACGGTTGCGAAAACGTTGTGGCTATGTCACTTATTGAATGACAGGTAACCAGACCATTACGGAAGAAACGGTAAATCAAGGTCTCACTTGACCTACGACAACCACAAATCACGGCAAAGGCTTCGTCTGAGCAATGTGACAACTGCATAAGTTAGGGTTGTTCAAGGAGGCAGCAAGCTCCGTACAACTTAGTTAGGTGGAACTCAGGATTATGGAAGCGACAAGCGAGGTAGTGGGAGTTGGTCCTAGGGTAACATCTAGGTCCTGACCTATCCTGGTATGGCAGAGCGGAGCTGCTGCAGCCACAGGCATCTGATTTGACAGATAGGTTTCGTCGCTCGGTTCGGAGGCAACATGACATGACCGAGCCACAGTCCACAGCCCGACTCGAGCCCCAGGGAAATGTCTGGGGTGAAACGGGTGGTGTGGCGGGGCACTGGGGCACCACGGCATCCACCGAGGAGAACGACGAATGTGAGGTTGTGGGCAGCGGAAAAAATGTCTTCGCCCGCGAAGTTCGTTTTCTGAACTTCTGACCAGACTTGGTGAACTGAGGTGGCAGAGGTGATGCCATATGAACCGTAGTTGGTTTTCTCTATAGCAATTGGAGCAGCCCAAATGACTTAATAATGAATAATGACCACACATATTACCAGCAGTATTACTCAAATTTTAGAGTACATGTATGTCTTGACGAATATTAACGCGTTATTTTTCCTTGAAATAATAAAAACACTTCTAAAACAAGATAATTACAAGAGATTGCTAACAATGTCAACCAAAACATTGTCAGTTTCATGATCTTAATATCTTTTTGGAATCTACGCATCGGAAACTTTACCAAGACACCAACATTGTGCTCACGCAGAGAGCACTGGGTCGTCAAGTTTTTTCCTGCATGATCCTTTCCTTCAGTCACTGAACTGCACATGGTTATCAAGTCATTGCTTCATTCGTCCTTGCGAAATAAAGTCGGTTCCAGCGCTACGTCCAAGAGGGCAAAAACAGATCGATACTCATGCAATGCATGTCGAGAGTAAAGGGAAAAAGTTGGTGCACTATCGAGAAAGTTGGGTACAAGTAACAAAAAACTATACCCTACATTAGCTACCCCACTAAAGCCTACATTCTATGATGACATAGGCATATAATTTGACACACCCCCATAGGCAAAGTGGGGGAGAGTAAGGGGTCACAAGACCAGTCAAGAGAAGCAAAGCAAGCTCAGGGGGGATCACAACGTCACCACACACACTGAGCACAAGCAAAGGGCCACAAGGCCAGTCCACGTGCAGGGGTATATATGCAACAACATTAGTACAGTGATATCTACTTGCAGAGCAAGCATGCAGGAATATATATAGATCATAGTATAAGCAAAGTCTACAGCAAGTGAGGAAAAGTGGGCACAAGGCCTAACAAAGTGCAGAAACGCTGATGATCACCAGACGGAAGTGCCTTGGTGAATATATCAGCAGTGTTGGCCTGAGTGGCCACGTGTGAAAGACGAAGCTGACCACACTGCTGCAACTCTCGAGCCAAGAAGTAACGCAGAGCGATGTGCTTCGTTCTGTGCTCCAGTCTGTGCTCCTGACACAAGGCAATGGCGGCCTTATTGTCGACGTACAGCACTGGAGGAGAACGAGGCCGCTCTCCCAAGTCGGTCAGTAGGTAGGTGAGCCAGCGTAACTCCTGTGCAGCCATGGCTGTGGCGTAGATCTCAGCCTCACAACTGGAGCTGAGAACTGAAGACGAGCGTGTAGAACGCCAAGAAACTGAACCAGAGCCAAGGCTGAAGGTGTAACCCTGTGACGGTCGCAAAGACTAAGTCGTCTACGTAAACGAGAACGTAGAACGGCGGCAGAGTGGTGTCTGTGCGAAGAAACAGCGACGGGTCAGCAGTGGAAGGAGCAAACCCAAGAGCAGCAAGAGTCGTCCTCATTGTGTCGTGCCACTCACGGGGTGTCTGGCGGAGACCGTAGACGGGCCGCCGGAGGCTCCATTGGGTACCAGCAGGAAACGACCCAGTGAAGCCAGGTGGGCGGCGCAGCCAGATCTCCTCTTGCAGGCTCCCCTGTAGGAAGGCTGTGCTGAAGTCAAGGGAGTGTAGCTCGTAGTCACGCTGAGCGGCGACGTGCAGCAGTACCCGAAGAGTGGTCATCTTCGGGGTAGGGGAGAAGGTATGGAAGAAGTCAACTCCCTGTTGCTGACTGAAGCCTCGAGCAACGTAACGCGCCTTGAAGACAGGCGGAGAACCCGACGGCCGCTTCACCCTGAAAATCCACATGCCACTGACGATGTTCGCCCCAGGCGGGGGAACCTCGTCGACGTAGGTGCCTGTGGACTTCCAGGAAGCCATCTCTGTGTCCATGGCTGTCTCCCACTGAGAGAATTAGGGACCCGTAATCGCCTCTGCGTAAGAGCGCGGGGTCGGGATGTCTGGTGCATCCGGGTCTCCCAAGGGGCAAGCAGCATGGACACGAGATGAGGTAAAGCAGCGGCAAAACACTCAAACTCCTCCTGTCTATCCTCAAGGACGTCCGTGCCAAGAGCACACTCACCCCCGACGGACGGAGGATAGACAGACGCAGACTCAGAATCAGCAACAAGACTAACGGCGTAGTCTAGACGACAGGCGGCAGCAAAGTCAACAAGCTCAGCAACTAGAGCAGACGCAGCAGTGGACTCAAACGAAGGGTCAGTGACAACAGTGGCCAGAAAACGCGTGACAGTAGGACTAGCAGCACGAAGGGAGTCAGACTCCGGGTCCGGACTGTCAGGAAGAGAGGACGCAGGAGGAGACGGTAGAGGGACACGCTGTGGAGCTGTTCAAGGATGCAGAGTCATAGAGTGAGTGTCGGGGACAGGAGGAGGACGCTGATGCAGAACACAACGACCAGTGCGAACAGCGCGAACAGGCGACTCAGGACAAGACTCAGGTGACGCAGGACGAGACTCAGGTGACGCAGGACGAGACTCAGGCTCACGACGCTCCGTAAGACCTCTAGTCGGTCCAAAGTAAGGAGAAGGACCAGGCAGTGGAGAGGCTGGCTGTAACTGCGACTGTGACTAGACAGGCGGTGGACTCAATAAGGGAGGAGTAGGACCAGTAGAAGGCGGGAGACCAAGAACCTGCTGAAGAAGCGGAACGTAGTACGGCCGCGGCCGCGCAGCGCCTCCAGAAACAGCAGAGACAGCACCAGTACCCTCAGCTCCATGGTCTCTAGCTACAACTCCCGCAGCACCACCAGCTCCAGTACCTCAAGCAGCTCCAGCTCCAGAAGCACCTCCAGTAGCAACAGCTCCAGAACCTACAGCTCCAACTCCTGCAGCACCACCAGCCCCAGCAGCTCCAGTACCTCCAGCAACTCCAACACCAGCAGGACCTCCAACACCAGCAGGACCTCCAGCACCAGCAGCTCCAACTCCTCCCCTGCCACTGCTGCCCTCATCCGCCTCATGCTGCCGTACCTGTTCCCTGACCTTGCTGCCTTTGCCATAGTCGCTGACATCATTACTCACCTCCGCACTAGTGACGCCCGCTACCGCTCTGCGCTTCCCACTGATTTCTGTGCCAAGAACCCTCCCCCCATGTAGATCACCCTTTACTACCTAGTCACCCGCCTCCCTAACTCCCTTGCTTCAGTCAGGGACCACTTTCTCTCCCTTTGCCCCACCGAGCTCACCGTCGACCTACTAGAGGAGTGCCTCACTGCAGCTGAGAAGAGTATCGTTGCTGTAGGTGCTTCTCGCGGCGACCCTCGCGCCCCTTTCTTTGAGGGGTGTTCCCCTGTCCCCCTTCTCCCCTCTGTTGCTTCTGCTGCTGCAGTCGACCTTGTTCGCACTGAGGAGGTCGGGACTGCGTCTGCTCCTAGTGGGAGGCGCCGCACCAGCAAGGGCAAGGGGGGCAAGGGTGGTGGAGGGGACGGTGGGGGTGGCGGTGGAGGTGGTGGAGGAGGCGAAGGTGGCGGTGGAGGTGGGGGTGGTGGCGGGAGTGGGGGCTTAGGTGGCGGCGGTGGGGGTGGTGGAGGCAGCGGCAACGGCGGTGGAGGCAGCGGCAGCGGTGGTGGAGGTGGCGGTGGCGGTGGAGCTGGTCGAGGTGGAGCCGCGCAGCGTGGAGGCTTTGGTGGTAGCCAGCGCCAGCAGCAGCCGCGTTCCTGTGAGACCCCGTTGGCCCAGCAGCTTCGTGAGTGGTACGCTAGGCGTGGGAGGTCTGGGGGTGTTGGTCCCTGCACTTACGTTCTTTGCACCGGCGGGCGCCGTGGGGAGACGTGCGGGCTGCCACACACTGCGCAGCACTACTTCGGCCGCTTGACTGACGCCTGGCGTGCCCAGTTTCATGACGCTGTTGAGCTCCCTCGCTGGGGTGATCTGCTTAGGCAGAATGTTGCTATCTTTGATCTTGATTTCGATGCTATCCTTGCTGCCATGTATGCTGTGACTGATAGTGCTGAGGGTGACTGTTACCTGTGTGTTCCGCCCGACCCGGGCATTGAGGCTGCTGCTCTAGGTGCTAGTGCGTCTGCTGCTCCAGGTACTGGTGAGTCTGCTGCTCCAGGTACTAGTGAGTCTGCTGCTCCAGGTGCTGGTGAGTCTGCTCTCTCTGGTACTGCACCTACTGAGTCCTTGCACACTTTCACACTTGACTCTGGTGCTTCGCGCTCCTTCTTTCGCGACAGCACCACACTCACGCCGCTCAGTCGGCTTGTCGCAGTCTCCCTGGCTGACCCCTCTTGGGGGCCCAGTCCTTGCGCACTCTTCCACGGTTCTACCGTGTCCTGCGGCCCCGTCGGGCTTGCTGTCGGGACTCCACCTCCCCTTGTTCTCTACGAACTTGGTGAGTGGAGCTGACCTTCAGGACTTGTGGGTTGACCAGTTCACCCCTGGAGGTCAGCGTGTGACCCACTGCACTTGCTCTCGGACGGG